TGAAGAACTACTGTTCTTGTTTTCCTTGAGACATAGACATTGTTCACTTATGTACAAGAATATATGGCAGGGGTGGGGAACCTGTTTTAGGTTGGGGGCTGCTGACCCAGAGAAAAATCAGTTGGGGCCACACACAAGCAAAGTGGAAGCCCCTGACTGAGAAGGAGAAAGATACTTCCCACATTCCCCTTGCACACCAGAGCCTCAGGGGTTGCAGGCTAGTAGATTTTGTGCGTGCCAGTCTTGGGAGGTGGGAACACCAGCACGGGTTCCCCAATGCTAAGCCCTGGGGGCCAGATCCAGACAAGCTGGGGGCCGCATCTGGCCCCCAGGCCTCAGGTCTCCTACCCCTGAAATATGGGATCCATGTGTTTGGATTAGTGTGTTGGTTTGTCGCAATACAAACATCAGTGCAAGGAAATAGTGCTTCCTTGATGCCAGTGCCAAAATTCATCAGCATTGTTGGCCTCAGAGGATGAACACCAAAGTTACAATCATCTTAAAGGAGGGGAAGGTTTCAGGAGGCAAAAATGGGCAGGTAAATGGAGGTCATTCAGACAGCTTTGAAGTAGCTCAGTGACAAGGACATTCCCTGTGGTTGTATGCCTGGTGACCAACATAACAGCAACAAAAGTTGCATTTCAACATGCTGAATTACAAAACATTACTCTTCATTAAAATCAGAGTTTGCAAAAGGTACCTAGAGTGGACTAAACCCGCGAGTCAAGGTAAAATATCCTGGTGATACTCACACAGATTCTAGAACCACCCCTTCTGTAATTTAAAATAATAAGATGGTTGCGTTTTGTTTGTTGTGTGCTGCTGTAAAATACGGTCAATGTTCTGTTTTTAATTAGATTTATTCTCTTTGGTTTAAAGTCCTTCCTCATCTTTGTTTTATATTATAGATCACACTGTGTATTTCCTCCATTGTCTTCTGTATCTGTTTCCTCTTTCTCCTTCCACTTTCTTGTAACTCCCTATGTTGTGTTCTTTACCTCTGTTCTGTAATTTCTCTCTCCTCATGCACTTCTGCCTCCCAGATCTGTCATCCAAAAGTACCGTGCACCTCTTCCCCCTTCATCGTTCATAATCTCGCATCTGACATCAAGTACTTGAAAATTTTACCAGACTCCTAATAGCCAAGTGGCTAAACAAATCAGCCAGGAGCAGTGCCCAGATGAGAGCCTCTCCTTCCCAAGTCTCTGTCCCTCTTAAGCTGCTGGTAAATGGGAAGGTGCTGAGATTCCTATCTTGATGCTCTTCTGGTACCCTGCTCAAAGGTGTCATCTTTTATATTAGCCTTCAGCTAGTACTTGTCCAATAAATGTTGAAGTAGTGCCTCCCATCCCCAACCAAACCACCCTGGCCATTAGAAGGAAGAAGGCATAGTCTCTTTATATTTTACTTAGATATTTGAGGAATGTTATAAGGGCCCCACACTGCAGTATCTGAGCCCCATACAAGCTTTAACAGCATGTCCCTTACCAGTGTCAATGAGGGCTCCCTCGGTGTTTGATTTAGTGAGTCTTTACTAGACCTGCTAAATTGAACCCTGGCATATAGGATCGCCAGAGCGTCAGTCCTCAGGTAAGTGAAGATGTGTCCTCAGCTTCTTTTCCATCCAAAAGCCCAGACCGTCAGGAATCATCAGGCTCTCTTCATGGAGGGCACATACTTATCTGCCCATTTAACTTTCACCTTCTCCTTGTCCTGTACAAGGAACCCCATTCCATCACTTTCCGTTTGCCTTCTCAGAACGGTAGCTAGTGGCATAGCACACTGCAACACCACGCCTCCCAGGGCAGATTCAAATAATTACAACATTAATCATGCCAAAAATACAACAGTTACTGAAACACTGATGACAAGAAAAGGAATTTGGTTAATGTTCATAGTTTACATGAGGTATAAAAGGTCGGTGCAGGTACAAAAGGTAATGCTCCTCACTGAAGTAAGGAGACTTGTACATTATATCTGGCAGTTATTGTAAGACCCAAGCTAGTCTTCTCTGGATTTTCTGCGTGTGTGCAGGGGAAGATACAGCAGTATTTAAGACTGAGAATTGCTCGATTTTGGTTTTCCTGCTGCACTTCTGAGGGAGGGGAGCATCTTGTCGAATGTCTCCATAGTGTATCTCTCTGGCCTGCCCTTTGCCTTTTCAATAAAACTATTCTCTGCCTCCTAGTCTCTTCAGTGTAATATCATCAAGACTCAGGACAGTATACCGGCAATGTACAGGGGATTACTATGCAGCTCATGCACTGATGCCCACCTCACTGCACAGAGCCATTTTCAACATAAAAACAAAAGTGCAAAGAATGACCGGGAACATAATTCCCCTCCCACAGAAATCTGAGACAGTGCCACGGCAAGGTAGCCTTCTCTGTACACAAAGTACAACCAGGACTTTTCCACTTACCATCTCTGAGGTTCCTCCCAGACCAAAGAAGCTCAAGGAGATAAATTCATTACTTCAAATAAAAAATGGTCTCTTAGCCTGTCTGGAAAACAAACAATAGTCCAGTGTTATTTTCATGCTCCCACAGCCATGGCACCTGCAAAGGCCAGGCTGCCAAAGAAAAGGCAGAGTGCCTAGCCAACCTGCCAAGGGCGCAAAAGGAAGATTCAAGACAAGATGTTTGCTTGGCTCGTAGTAGAGACTCCTTCAGAAAAATTCAAGATGGATGAGAGGTGGAGGCAGTGCAGATTGAACCTCTCTAGTCTGGCACCCTCGGGACCTGACCAGTTCTGAACCAGAGAATTTTCTGGACCATGGGAGGTCTATATTGTCTAGTAGCATTGCCAACACTTCCACTGCTTACTGGGCTGTTAGAGCACATTTAAGAGTAAATTATAGCTAAGTAACAGCACAGAACACTCAGATTTAGGACTGGTGGCTGCAAACAAACTTTATAGGACTGCGGGAAACTTTGCCACACCCAGCAATGAATGTTTCTGGATCAGTGATTTCTGGACTAGAGAGGTTCAACCTGTATCTGAGGCGTCAAGGGGGGCGGACAGGAATGGATCTGTCAAACAAGATATTGGCAGTGGGCAAGGACAATATCACCGTCGCCAGGGAAAGCATGGCCATAGCCAAGAAGAGCATGGAAAAGGATGGGGAGATGCAGAGGAAGCTCAGAAACACTACGGCTACGTCTACACTGGCATGATTTTCCGGAAATGCTTAAAACGGAACAGTGTTCCGTTATGTGTATTTCTGGAAAAAGCGCGTCTACATTGGCAGGATGCTTTTCTGGAAAAGCACTTTTTCCGGAAAAGCGTCCGTGCCAATGTAGACGCGCTTTTCCCCAAAAAAGCCCTGATTGTCATTTTCGCGATCGGGGCTTTTTTGCGGGAAAAGAAATCTGTGCTGTCTACACTGGCCCTTTTCCAGAACAGTTTTCCGGAAAAGGACTTTTGCCCGAATGGGAGCAGCATAGCTTTTCCGGAAAAGCACTGATGATTTTACAGTAGATCGTCAGTGCTTTTCCGGAAATTCAAGAGGCCAGTGTAGACAGCTGGCAAGTTATTCTGGAAAAGCGGCTGATTTTCCGGAATAAGTGGCCAGAGTAGACACAGCCCACATTAAGCCACAAGATACTATTTCACTGTATGCTGGTGCTACAACAGCAGGAGCTGCAGCCCAGAGAGCTGGTATCCAGCCATGTTCCTCGGTACCTGCACAGTACGAGTTACTGGAGCCATCCACAACTCCACCCTGCTGAAGCAGTGCTCCCAGAGGTCATTCCCCTCAAAGAGTAAACCTCTGGGCAAGGGGGAAATGTACCTGAGAGCCCTGCTCTTTCGAGTTCTCCTTAACTTTGAACTACGGCGTGCAACCCCAGGAATTCTGCGAACAAGAAGAGACAGTTGCATGGCATATGCTTGCCCATGCCTTTAAGGACCCTCATCCCCGCCAGTTGTTCTGCACCACACTTTCCATGTTGGCTTCATGGTTGTTTTGTTTAATGTATTTTCTATTAAAAGCTGCTGTAGTGTTGCATCAGTCCAAACTAAATTTTTGATTTGTTACATTATTGTGCTTTGTTTCATAATAAAATCCATTGACATTCAGACATGCTGACTCATCACTGCATGCAAGTTAGGAATCCCTTTAAACAAAAGTAAAATAATTTATGGAGTTTCAAAGTCCTGGAACAAGTCCCCACTGGCACCAGCCAGAGACAGTACTAAATAGCACACAGTAAACTCAGATACCTCCTCCATTTTTTACAGATCCGCATTTTCAGGGATGAGACTCAAAATGAGCCCAGTGGGTCTTTCCACTGGGTGATTCTATTTTCTGTGGAATACCTGATCAGTTGCTCAAACTACTGAGCAATATCTAGACCCTCACCCTCTCCCACCCACTGTTAAAACTTTCTTGTTTTCTTGCATTTCTTGGCAGTATCTGTTAGCATGCAACCTGCCATTTACTGAAAGGTGTCTCTTTCACCAGCTCCCCTGAGTTGGGACATAGCCTTATTTGTCTGTCAAGTGTTGTTTGTGTATGGTGCCTGTCTGCTGAATAATGCCCCTTCTGTGGTATTTGTTGGAGTTTGTAGGTATTTTAAGTATCTGACAGCAGGGATTTTTCCCCTCAGTGAATGTCAAGAGACTCTTAGGAAGCATGCCACTCTTCCAGATTCATTAAAAAACTTCTGAATGTACAATATAACATGGATATAAGTGGACCTGAGCACTTTTATACTCATGCATCTGAATACATCAGAATCAGCCCTTCATAACCAAGCAAAGTTAGTCATAGCTTTAGCTGGAAAGTTTCAGAAAGGATTCTATTTAATAACATAGCAAATCAAAATACCTTTCATTTGCGTAACGTAGGGTACACAAATAACAAGGAAAAGTAGTTATGCATGGATGGTTCCACATTCATTGAAGTGTGCCATACATGAGTCTTAATTTGGATCCTTAGTTAAAAAACACTTGGCTGAGCTCTTTCATTTAGGTGTTCTTATCTTTTTCTTTTGTAGGGTTTGCTTCAGGAACTCAAACATCTCAAAATTAAAGTGGAAGAACTGGAAAATGAAAGAACCCAATATGAATGGAAATTAAAAGCAACCAAAGTAAGCAGTAAATCCACCACTTACAAAAGACAGACTTATTCCAACTGTGAAGTGGATAATCACAATTTTCCTCCCCTTTCCCCCCTCCCCCTCCCCGCTATATATACATTGAATATGTTTCACTGACTAGAGCATAAGAGATTTAGCCTTTAAAGATATACTATTCTTTTACCTGGGATATTTTACTTGTCCTGCCACCCACTTCTCTCTCTTTTTTTCCCAAAACTAATATATTACCTGTAGCTAACAAAGGAATTGTTTATGAGCAAGCTTTCCTTTCAGGCTTTCTATTTTACTCTTTCCATATCAATTACTAGCTTCTGGAGTAAATTCTCTAGCTTGAAAGATAGACAGATAGCAATGAAAAGGGGAGGAAGGGATGCAGAGCTGTTTTGGTAACACATGAGTAATTTTCATGGAGTCTAAGTCAAGACTGGAGCATTGAATCATCTTGGATTTTACCCAGTTATTCAGGTATTTAATCCAATTATTGGTGTTTGACTAAAGCATATACTCCTTGAAAGGCATCCAGTCTTGATTTGAAGACATCAATAGATGGAATTCATTAATTCTTTTTAAAGTTTGTTCCAGCGATTAATTACCCTCATTGTTAAACATTTGTGCCTTACTTTTCATTTGAATTTTCTGGCTTCAGCTTCTAGCTTTTGGTTCTTGTTATGGCATTCCTTACTAGACTAGAAAGCTCGTTAGAATACAGTATTTTCCTCCATGTTATGATACTTCTATGAATAGTCCCCAGTCAGCTCTAAAGGACCGCTCACAGGAGTACATTTCCTCTTGTGTGATCAGGCACTATGATTATTTCAAATTAGGTAAGAAACTAGCGTTTGTAATATTTCAGGTGACTAGATGCTTGCTGTAATTACAGTGAAAGCTTTATTGTCTGTCACTCATGGGGAATGAGAGTTGCTGGATAATTGAATTTGCTGGAGATCCTGGAAATCCAGCTCCCACCAGCTCAAGGCAGGCTAGGGAGGAGGTGTTATCTGATGACATCATCTGTCAGGGCCAGAAGGAGGAGACGCCTGCTCATGACATCAGCCAGCAGTGCCAGTTAACAGCATTTTCCAATTAACAAAGTGCTGGATAGCAAAGCTTGCACTGTAATATTACAAGGGGAAGGAATGCAAGCCAAAATAGGGAAAAACCAAATAAAATACTATTTTGGAAGTATTCAAGTTGCCCAGCCTGATGAAATTCCCTACAGTGTACTTAATGAACTGGCTGAAGCAATGTTGAAATTGCTAGTAATTATCTTCAAGAGTTCATGGAGGAGGGGTATGGTCCCAGAAATAGGTTAATAAGTAGTAGCCAACTTGGATTTGTGAAGAGCAAATCATTCCAGAATTATCTTATTTCACTCTTTGACAGAGTTACTGGTCCAATGGATGGTGGTGTGGGGGGGGATAACAGCAGATGTGAGACATTTTGATTGTTAGTAAAACTTTAGGCATAGTCCCTCCCACATGACATTCTCATAAGCAAACTAGGAAATTATGGTCTATATGAAATTACTATAATGTGGATGCATAACTAGTTGAAAGGCCATGCTCAAAGTGTAATTATCAGTTGTTTGCTGTCAAACTGGGAGGAGGTATCTGTTGGATTCTGTTCCAAATTCAATATTATTCCATGTTTTCATTATTGATTTGCTGATCATGATTGTCATGAGAAAATATGGGGCAACATTGTATGTAACTTTAAGATTCTGCTGTGTGATATTATTAATGCATATTTGTGTGGGGACTCCTCAGCTAGGTATCAACAAAATCAGCTGTACAATCACCTGGGTAAGCAGCCATTTTTTGGCAGGAAGAGGTTTGTGAAGTTAAGATGGAGTCTGAAATGATAAAAAAAGAAGGACAATCACCCCAACCTTCCCTTTTTCTCTCTCCTGCCCAACTCATTCTCGACTTGTGAGAAGAAAAAAGTAGATAGCCATTGTACTCTGGAGTAGGGGACATGACCCGAAAATCAGGAGAAAGACACTATGGGGTAGGATAATCCCTGTGGTTCTTTTTTTCACCTGTTTAAACTTCGTTTGTTTTTTCTCCCTGCTCCATGACTCTATTTGCTGCTTAGCTGCAAATTAAGGAAAACACAAATTCCTTCCTTTGTTTAGGATAAACCTGACTTCTGCCTGGGCAGATCAGTGAGGTCTGGAACATGGGGAATCTTATTACTTTACATGCACTGTTGCCACACATTGTTTATCAGGACAAGACTTTTCAGCAAATTGTGAATTTTCTGAGGGTGTTAAAGAGCGGATATTTGTCTAATTATGTAGTCAATGCATTTTGCAGAGCCGGCCTGAGCTGGAACTGAGTAGCCCTTGTTCGTGGCAGCAGCCCCTGTCTGTGGCCAGCCTGAGCCACCAAGAACAGCCCAGGCCTCTGTGAACAGGGGCTGCTGCCAAAGCAGCCTTGGCCCACTGCGGGCAGAGGCTGCTTCGCAGCAGACTCCCCTATCCACCCGTTGCTGCCTCTCATAGAGGCAGCATGCAGAACCGTGGAGACGGTGCTGTGGGGAACCAGCTTTTAAGACCGCTCCACCCATCATTGGCTCCTGTTCCCCTCCCCCTTGCCACCTCGCATATAGAGGCAGCAAAGGCGTGGGGAAACAAGTAGCCGAGTACTCAACTCAACCCCAATAAGTTTAGCTTACATCCCTAGTACAAAGATTATTGCAGTAGTGTATAGAGTGTGAATACCGGGGTGTATTTCCTCAACAAGAAGCCCATCTTCTGAAACAGTGACTATGAACTTTCTAGGTCTTTGATAAATGTATTGTCAAAACAAGGTGTGCTTATTATCTTTAGAGACAGAGGACAGAGGAGAAGGATGTTGGGAAAGAAGGAAATAGACTTCTAGAGAGAAATGAGTGGAAGAAGATATGGGATTGGAAAGGAATGTAAGTGCAGGAAAAGAAAGAGGGACATTAATTGTGGTGATGACATGCCACGGAGTAAAAGGCGAAAGATGAGTGTGGAGGAGACAAATCCAATTTGCTATTAGGAAGTCTGCACTTGTGTCTATCTGTTGCTCCAATGCCTGAAATAAAAATGTGAAATGTCTGCCTGACTGGGCTATAGAAAGCAGATTAGTCACTGAGAAGCATGGTAACCATTCAGAGATATTTAGTAAGCTGAATTCCTATATTCGAGGGGGGATTTGTTGGCAGAAATAATGAGCCTTTGCTGCCCCCCAGCTGCCTGCTCCATGTCAAAATGTGTTTTCATCTACTACACTAAATCTTTCTTCTTCTTTTCTGTCAAATCTTGGGTTTCTCTTAAATATAATGTCTTTACGCCCAAGGTGAAATGTCAAGGATAGATCACAGTAAATGTTTACTTGAGGAAATGCACCTAGGTAGGCTTAAGTGCTTCTAACATCTGAAAAATGATGCTGATTTCTCAAATAGTCCAATGCGTTACCGCTGGCTGCTTTCAGATGAATATTGTTAGTTGGACAAGTCCATTTTTAAGATTTTAAGCCTGTGAGATTTTACATAATCATAAGAATAGCCTGAATTCTAATGAGTGTAAATTAACTATTATTTTGATCCATATGAATGGTTTTCAGCCCATGCATTACTTCTGCTATAATTTTCATTTAAAATATCTGATGCAGGTGAGAGAGAGGGAGAGAGAGAGAGAGAGAGCAAGTTTTACCAAATGTCTAAGAGCAGTGGTCAGACTTGGTAGAAGTAAACCAGAACACTTTTCTTGTGTTTGATTATTTAGCTTTTTAATATGATGGACACAAATATTATCAAAAATGCTAGAAGCTACATCTATTATGAACTGCAATTAACATAATAAAAGCGATGCATACCTATGGAGAAAAATATATGATAATCTTCCAAAATGTGGGGAAAGTTTGGGAAAACATTCTGCTGTCTTGGAGTATCTATTTCAAATGACTCTGAGCTCTTTTTTAACATGATACTATTAGCCAAGTAAAGCGTTGTACAGACTATTGGGATAACACCTACCCTTAATGCTTTCCGCCTATTTCTAGATTACTTACCAAAGATTGCATTTGATCAGACTGTACAGTCCTGAATTCTTAAAATCCTGCCATCCCTGCAAAGCATTTCCTGCTTTGCAGAGCTAATAGCACTGCATAATAATAGTGAGTTCCTGTCAAAGGTATTTCCTTCCTTCAGGAAAGGTGGCATTTTTAAGGATTGTAATATTTTTAAAAGGTATATATGAGGCCTGAAGTCAAGTGCATTGAGTTTTGTTTGGGAATGCAGAATGGGTGGAAATCCACTGAAGGTAGCATTCTGAACTTCTCTTCTTTCAGGCTGAAATAGCTCAGCTTCAGGAGCAGTTAGCTCTCAAAGATACAGAAATTGAACGTCTACAGAGTCAGCTCTGCAGGACCTCGGCACACAATGAAATTGCAGAAAGAGGTAAGAATGGATGGGGAAGAAATCAAAGGTGAAATGAAAATATTTGTCTTCAGTTCTGTGAAGCATCCACTGCCCAGCATTTAAAGCAAGGTATGAAGATATGACTGTCCTGCATTCTAAGATTTGGGGGTGAGGAGACAGGGAGAAGACTTTCCTCTACTGACAGTCCATGTAAGAGAATATGGCATCCATGTAGCACTAACATTTCTAACACAGAGAACTTTGTTCTAAATTGAAGAACTATTTAATATTCCTTGTAGCCATATATTTGTAAAGTATTAATCTCCGAGTTACATGAAAGGGTATTTCTAATTACCGTTTTTAAAAGAAAAAACTGTTGTTTATCACTGTCATCGTGCCTCAGTAGGTTACAGCTGAGTGATACCATATTCAGTACAAACAGCTAAGAAACAGAGCAGACTCACCCCCAAACTGATGCTTATTCTATTATTAGATACACCAAGATTGAAACAAATGTAAATTATGTCTCCCCACGCTGGTTAACAAGAAGTTAAAAATGAAGTCTCCTTAGGCATCCCAGCTCTTATTTCACCACCCATAGACCAGTGGTTCTCAAATTGGGGGTCTGGATCCCATTTTTATGGGCTAGCCAATGCCAGTGTTAGACATGCTGGGACACAGGACTGAAACTGTAGCCTGAGCTCTGCCCCACTTGGGGCAGCAGGACTTAATCTGCATCTCCCTCTTCTCTCACTGGGGCAGTGGGGCTCAGACTCTGACTCCCCACCCAGGTTCATTTAGTAACTTTGTTGACAGAGAGGAATGGAGGTGGAATGCAGTTTGAGAACCCCTTTACTAGATTATAAAAGTGGTTATTTAAAACCAATATAATCAAACAAAGGGTTCTTCTAATATCCGGAGATCAGCTCATACTAAGGGCAATATATAACTCACATCTTACATATAATTACACTGTAGCCAGTGCTTTAGTGCCTTTTATCTAAAAGTTTATTTATAAGATAAAAGAAAAGAGAGTTTAAATGGTTAAGGAAATCAAATACTTACAATTATTGCAGAATTCTTATATGCGGTATGAAGTAATAATGTTACAAAATGCTGCCTTGTAAAGTCTCTGGTAACTGTCAAAAGATTTGAAGGCCCTCCATCCACTGTTAGAATGCTCCTTTTCAGGTAATACCATAGTCCAGAGACAAGAGTAGAACAGAGGCAAGATAGAGATGCTTCTAGTGTAATAGTATTTGATATATTGTAACTTTTCCATTGATACCTTACATGACACACTCTGTACAAGATCTGTTGCAGTTGTCTGACAGTGGCAATATTAATGATATCATTGGTCATATTCCAATCATACAGCATCACAATTACTTCCCAGCAATATCCATGTGCTGCCCCTGTCTATTCAAATATTCCAAATCATAATTTGTTACCCTGTGTTCCTTGTGTAATTCTTTGCTATTAATAGGGAAAAATGCTATACAGAAGACCTGGTCCCCCTTCCTCGTCCCCTTCCATTTTCAGCCAACATTCCCTGGAGTGTTGACCTCACTCGGCTTCTATCAGATACCAGGGTGCAGGGAAAGATGATACTTAAAGGCTCCACTGCTCCCCGCTCCAAGGAGTACTATTGAGTGTGCTCTTCCAGAGGCAAAGGAGACAATTTAGCCGTTTGCTGTTGTATGTTCCATTAGGAGTGAATGCTGATTCAGGAAGGGCTCTCACCATATTAGGACTGTTTGATGCTAGTCCATCTGTTGAGCTTATGCATGCTGAGTGTTACAAGATGTCTCTTATGCTTGAATGCATATTCTGACTGAATTGCCATACAGTATCTAATGTGTGCTTTTTCTACAAACTTTATTTGACTTTTACCATTTACCATTGTAGAGGAACTATATAGGAGAAGGCTAAAAGAAAAACGTAAGCCTTGAGATTCTCTTTTGGCATTTTCTTAATGTTCATTTTCACACAAATTATAGCTAAAATGCACTTCTGCAGCAATAATGTAATATCTTTCTCCATTCAGCTGCTTTACCATAATGTATATGAGAGAGTTATTTCATGGTTTGCAGGAAGCAAACAGCTATTAGCTCTGCTTAAAGCTTGAGTCTGATTTATCACGTCAAACAAATATGGATGAAATGTTGTAGGTTGATAAATCAAATAGCTGGACTTTAAAAGGACACTGTCAAGGTTAACAGGCCCTATATTCAACCTTCACTTTTTGTATTGCATGTAAACTGCATGTGTCATTTTCACTTTTGTCTTTGTGATTTTGGGGAGATAGTTTTCTTTGGAAAACATGTTTCTTTTCACCACTGAAGTAAATAAGGGATAACATTTTGATAAAGAAATAGATTTTCATTCAGACTTGCCTGGAATGAAGTTTGTTTTAAAAGTTATTAAAATATATTGACACTGTTCCTTTTGAAGTCCAATAATGATGAATTACAATTAATTCCAAGTTGATTTTTAAAGCTTTTCTTTAAAAAGCAACTTTCTTTTTAAATCCGTCTGATTGCTTGATCACTGCTTGCTGCTTTTTGTATTTGGTTTGATTTAATTACATTAGTGCATCTCATATGTAGACTAAGTGCTGTTTTCTGCATGAGAAACATGTTTGCAAAATCTTCATTTAAATGTTTGTAAATATATTAGTCATAGCCAATCATTGCAGAATGCATGGAACTGGCAATAACTAACTGAAATTAATTATTAAAGTATGCACAGACACTTTGAATGTGAAGTTGAATGTTCAACCTTAAACTATTTGTCATAAAAATTTATTAATACTGCCTTTTTCAACTCTCATTTTTTCCTATTTCCATCAGTGACTTTGAGAACTGGTAGCACAATTCTTTGTAAACCAAATACATCAATTTAAAAATGTCCAGGAGTGTGTGCCTTGCATGGAAACTACAACCGATAAAATATTTTTAGGCTCTACTTAATTATCTACATTTGGTTACTACAAAAGAGGATGTGGGAGAGTCAGTGGAAAACATGTACATGGAAAACATGGATGGCAGATTTGGCCATGGCTAGTTATGAAATCCAGTCAAAGCTTTGTAAATTTCCAGAAATACAGATTTGTGATGATGAGCAAATTTTACCTGTATGGTTTAATAAATAACCTATAAATCTTGCATTGCAAAAATTGTGATATGTGTGGTACAGCTCTGTATTTGCTGTTGACATTTTTACCAAATATTTTGTTCAATTATTCAAATTTAGAAAGTTTTTAATAGATTCTGGAGTCCACAGAAAACTTTTCCTTGTGCAGTAAAGACATTAAGGATTACTTACTGCATAATGTCAGGCTTTCTGATTTATGATTTGTTGTTGTTGAACTATAGGTTTCATAAATATTCTTTAACCACAGTTCATGTAAGCTATAGATCATTATCCCCAGCTTGAAGGTAATTTCTTTTAAAAATATTTCCTTAAATATGACATAAAAGAACCTCTCAAATCTCTAGGGAAACGGGAGTCAAATCTTTTCAACCCAAAGTTTTAGGAAAATAAAATGTATAAAACAAAAACCATTATATAGTTTTCATTGTGCATAGCACCTTTAAGATAAGAGAAAGTGGCCAAACTAAATCATTTGTAGCTGAAGAGACTTCTAAAAAGTGTGATTGTCCCAGTTAAATGTTACTATTTAATATTTTAATATTCTGGGCACTTAGATGTCCCAGTGATGGGCCCTATATAAGACTCTAAATAGAACAGAACAGAAATGACTTAATCTAGGTTACATACAATGACATTTTTCTCTTAACATTTTAAAACTATTTTAGATCTAGAAGTTCAGCGATTGAAGATAGGAATGGAATCATTGCTAGTTGCAAATGGAGAAAAGGTGAGGCAATGGTTGGGACTAACTTGCTCCTTTGCGGTAATAATGGAGGTGTGTCTAGAAGGTATCGTTTATTGCATCTCTGCAATGCTATAAAACAGTGGTCCCCAACTTTTTGGGGCTGCCGGGCACCCAGGGGTGGGGTTGTGCATGTGCTGCGCGCCTGGGGCACGGGCTGTGCATGCACCGCGGTCCTGGAGTCCGGGGTGCAAGAATGGCTTGGGCTAGCCCATGCCACTCGGTGGGAACACATAAATGCTCCAGCGGGTGCCATGGTGCCCGCAAGCACCGCACTGGGGACCACTGCTCTAAAATGCCACCATCACCGTGAGTTGCCTAGTGTTGTATGGGGTCATGGGACCTATAGATCTAACCTTGAAAAAGAGATGCTGCCTTTCTCTACCAGCCCCAACTACAGCATCTTTAAAGTCCCTCAGATTCTCATATGGGAGCTCTTTTGCCTGGGAAATAGAGATCCAGGGTTATGGATAGGGATGTCAGGGTGTAGTTGGTTACATGATTAACTGATAAGCCTGGTCTTATCAGTTAATCCTGTTGAATATATGCACTCCACCCACTTGCTGCCTCTGTATCAGAGGCAGCAAGCAGTGCCCGATGGCAGACAGTGCCCAGGAAGAGCCTGCATTTAAGCTGGCTCCCCACAAGCACTGGATCCCATGGAGCCACCCATCCCACCCCACCCCACCCCCACACTGCTACCTCTGATAGAGAGGCAGCAGTGCGAAGGGTGAGGGGGGGCAGGTGGGAGCCGGTACATGTAGCGAGATGGCTTTCAAGCCAGCTCCCCCTGAATATTGGCTCCTATGGAGCTGCCTGCCCCCCCTTTGCTACCTCCCACAGAGGCAGCGGGTGGAGGGAGGCAAAGCTGGTGCACCAGCTCTTCCCTTCTCCCCATCCCACCCCATGTTGCTGCCTCTATCAAAATAAATACCAAAAAATAAATAAAAATTAACGTTTGGGATTTGTAATTGAGTTTTCAAGAAAATTATCAGTAGGGCACAAAAATAGCAATGGGCAGGCCAGCCTGTACTTTAGGAAGTTGTTTGCACATGTAGATGTGAGGTATGGGCAAGTAACCTCTTACTACATACCCTCATGTGGGACCGGGAACACTGAAAGGTCAAAAGATAATTCTAGAAAATTGAGCACCTCATAAATGAATTTGTCTTATAACAGACTTTGCTGTTTAAAAAGCCAAAATTTATATCTGGACAATTAAACACATGGCATTGTCTTTTGGCAGAGCTGTTGCAAGACTGTGGAACAGTTTGCTTCTGAGATATCTTTGCTCACTTTCTAGTCTCACGGACTGGATTCATATTTGCAGCCCTTCAGCCACTATCTTTTTAGGGATGTAAAATTTCAGCTAATTGGCTTGCTTTGAAGCACCTCTGTCTCTCCTCACCTTGCTGCCTCTTTCCGATAGAGGCAGCAAGGGAAGGAGGGGGGGTTGACTAGTCGACTGGCTATCTGAGAAGCATTTGCTAGTCGACTAGTCATTCACATCCCTATGTCTTATGTGGCTGTCCATTCCAGAATCTTAATCAGGAGAGCAGTCTAGATTCTGCAATACACAGAGAGCTGGCATTCACCTCTGAATCTGAAACTGAATTTAGGGTATGTCTAAACTAGCTCGTTAGTTCGAGCTAGCTAGGTAAATGAGGGCAACCGGAGTTGCAAATGAAGCTCGGGATTAAAATATCCCGGGCTTCATTTGCATGTTCCCGGGCGCCGCCATTTTTAAATCCCCCGCGGCTACCATGGCACAGAGTAGGTAGTTCGTGGAACGAGAAGTAATGGTAGTTCGAATTAGGATCTCTAATTCAAACTACCTACTCCGTGCCGCGTGTAGCCACGGACACGGAGATTGGACTAAGGGGGCTTTTGAACGAGAAGTAATGGTAGTTCGAATTAGGATCTCTAATTCAAACTACCTACTCCGTGCCGCGTGTAGCCACGGACACGGAGATTGGACTAAGGGGGATTTTAAAATGGCAGCGCCCGGGAACATGCAAATGAAGCCCGGGATATTTAAATCCCGGGCTTCATTTGCAACTCTGGTTGCCCTCATTTGCCTACCTAGCTCGAGCTAATGAGCTAGTGTAGACATACCCTTAGAGATGTTCAAATAGGTGAGTAGTGGCCAATATAGATGGAGTGAACAGGGGTGCAGTCATGCCAATGGTGTTGTGCGATTTGAAAGTTGGCAGCCCTAGTAGAGTCTTTCATCACTCCCTATCCAATCTCCAAAGGCATTGTCCACCTTGAGGAGACACCTCCAGTGGCAAGCCAAGAGGCCAGCTCCTCACCCTGCTGTTCTGGCTTTCACTCTGCTCCCCAGTACTGAGCCCCACTATATTGGCTTTGTGCAGTTAAAGCAGCAGAAAAGAGACTGAAAACGAAGGACAGGTTTTTAAAAGAACTTGGCATCCACAGTTGAAGCCAGACTGAACTCAGTGCTCCCCCACAGGCATCTCTCAAACAAGTGGCCAACTTTTCAAAAGATTTTTAGGAAGAAATGTTGCAGGCTAAGCCATTTTTGAAAATCTGGCCTTAAGTGGGCAAAGTAAGGATTTACATAATGGGGAACTCAGCTGGAGAAAATAAATGTTCTATAGAAGGGACATGAGATTCTGGATATGATTCCTATTAAGAAGGGGGACAAATCCCCAGGAATCACAGATAACATATAGTAGTAAGTTATACACATTATTATTAGTAGAAGATTATTAATAACTATATCTTCAAACACAATGATATTAAATCTAGCTGTTTGAAGATGATTTCCCTTTAATGTTTTTTCACAGGACCGTCGAATAGAGGAGTTAACGACATTGCTAAGCCAGTACAGAAGGGTGAAGGAGATAATGATAGCTGCTCACGGTAAAATAAGTGTTGTGGATAATGTTTGATGTCTGGTCTTCCTGAATACTGGTTTTCACTCTGCTCCGAAGGAGGAATGCAATGTAGACATACCCTAGGATTCTATGATTGTGGTCTCACTTTTCGATTACCTCTGATATCATAGCTTCACTGAAGTAAGGGGAGCTAAGATCATTTACAACAACTGAGGATGTGCCCGGAGGAAACCACACTTTGTGACAACATCAAATAACTTTTCGGTTTACATCACGAGGGCTCAGTTAACAACAGTAGGTTTGCTGGCTCTCTTCTGACCCAAACAGGTTAATAATGCATGCAAGTCCAAATGAACCAGGAAGTATTCTGTCCTTGTGACATCAGCAAAGCACAGTACATGTAGCAATAGTTTTCTATAGGTGATTATAACCATACTGCCAAAGTCAGAAAAATGAAGGCTAATTGACATTTTAATAAACAAAATTCTATTTTATCTACCATGAAATATCTGCCCATCTGATTAGACCAAGTGTAGTAAATGCCATCCATTCTGTCTGCATTTAGAATAGCAGAAACATGAAGGTAAGACCAACCATAAGCAAAGCTATTTGTTTTGTTTTTTTAATGCATCACAAAATGCACTTTTAAAGGAGCTGATCCAAATCCCATTGAAATTAATGGGAGTCTTCAATTGATTTCTGGGAGCTGTGGCTCAAATCCTAATTTAGTACCATTGCCACTATCAGAAATCTTATTAAACAACATTAAGTTTGTTGTTTTCGCGTGTTAGGATGGGACAGTTTTTGTAGCGGTGGTACTGATAGCCATTGTACTAACCTGTGAACATAACAGACATCAATTCAAGGAAGCAGGTGTGACAGTATCTCCACCTACCATTGTTCTAACACATAGGCTGTGTCTACACTGGGCCACTTATTCCGGAAAATCAGCCGCTTTTCCGGAATAAGCTGCGAGCTGTCTACACTGGCCCTTGAATTTCCGGAAAAGCAACGATGCTCTACTGTACAAAATCAGCCGCTATTCCGGAAAAGCTATTCTGCTCCCGCTCAGGCATAAGTCCTTATCCTGGAACACTGTTCCGGAAAAGGGCCAGTGTAGACAGCCCAGTAGTCTTTTCCGGAAAAAAATCCCCGATCGTGAAAATGGCGATCGGGGCTCTTTTCCGGAAAAGCACGTCTACATTGGCCACAGACACTTTTCCGGAAAAAGGGCTTTTCTGGAAAAGCAGCCTGCCAATGTAGACGCTCCTTTTCCGGAAAAACTGAAAACAGAATAGTATTCCGTTTTAAGCAGTTCCGGAAATTCATGCCAGTGTAGACACAGCCCTACAGTGTTAGGTTGGGTTTGAAAGGTCTCATATAAGCTGTAATATAGTCTCCGATGAGTCTGCCTATATTATTATTCCTTTACTTCTTGTTACACAGTATTATGCAATCTGAAGAGCAGGTAAACATAACAGCCAGAGAAGTCTTCTTCTTCAGCAGACATGAAAGACAAAAGAAGAGCTGAAAACAATGTTAATGTTTTCTGACCTGTGATGCATTTTCATTAGCTGAATAAGATCTGTTTTGTTAGGCAGTATTTTGTTTTCATAATTGTAGCACTTCAGAGACATAATGAAGCTCTTAAGAGTCTTTTTGCTATGTTCTATAATTAAATACAAAACATTTGGAAAAACTTAAAAAACAACAAATAGTCTGGTAGCACTTTAAAGACTAACAAAACATGTAGATAGGATCATGAGCTCATGATACCATCTACATATTTGTTAGTCTTTAAAGTGCTACCAGACTATTTGTTGTTTTTTAAGTTTTTTCCTGTTACAGACTAACTCGGCTCCCCCTCTGAAACTTTAAAACATTTTAAAATCATTAAGTATAGAATAATGTGAAAAATAAGTTGACCAGATACCTTGTTTTCTCCAGAATTAGGAATTTTCTCAGGTGAACATAGTTCAGAGCTTTCACAGCTCCTATGTTATATATAGAGATGTATATCTGGTATTATAGTATTATACTTTGGGTATTTGCACCAGAGTAAACTTTTTCTGAAGTACCACCAAAGAATTGAAAAGATTGTTCAGTGGAAGATCCTAAGATTGGAGCTGTTCTAGGGGTCTATCTTGGTTTTTAGGGCTGTTTCTAGTTATGTTGTGGGGCACTTGCTGACGGTTGGGTTTTTTCCTATAAAAAAATGGGTTAGTTATATGGGGAAGCATGTTCAAAGGCAGATCTTCTTGCAAAATACATAAGTAGCTCACAGTAAAGCAAAAGAAAACACATTACAAACTGCATAATTTCTATTTTAACCACCACTCATGTCTCATGTCCATTAATAAATATAAATCCTTTTCTTCCAACTGCATTGTTGAAGATAGGTTTCTTTTGTCTTTTAGTGATCATAAGCTATATAGATCAGCTAGTAAAAGATAGTGGTATTAAGAAGCAACTGTTTTACAGTTCATACCATCTGGGTGGAATTCACATTATTTAACATTATCTTTAGACTTACATGCTTATGGCAGAGAAACCTAAAAATGTACTGCATATCTTGCTGTAAGTTACTAAGTGTACATCTGCTATCAACAATAACAATGCCTTCTAACATTTCACTTCTGTCACAGTATGGCCTTGAGAGAACAGCTGTCTTGGTCGGAAATTTTAGGGCACGTCTACACTGCACATGGGAGAAAGGCCAATGGATGGTGGGGATGGAGGTGTGTGTGAACACAGATGCTCCTCTGGCTTGTCGCGCTGTCCCCGGGAGCGGATGCTGCCTCAAGAGTGTGGGCATGTTCATGTGCCATGTGCAGCACTCGTGTGTGTGTGTGTGTGTGTGTGTGTGTTTGTGTCTGCATGTTCCCAGGCTCCTTTTAGTGGTGGCTTGTGGAGGGTGGGTGAAGGTGTCTCGCCATGGTGTTGGGAGTAAGGCAGGCCTGTCCAGACACCCTGTCAGCCAGAGCACAAGGGTCCTCTGTTGCAGCCTCCTGGGGGTGTGCCTCAGACTGGCACTCTACGTGCACCGGTGTGTACAAGCTGCTGTGCAATCCCCAGACCGAGGAGGCCAAGCAAGGAGTGTGTGGCTGCCCCTCATCACGACAGCCTCCACCCGTGTGTGTCTAGGGACAGTGATGATGGTCACCTGAGGGGCCTTCCCTGGCTTCAGATGATGGCTCCAAAATAAGCATGACCTCCTGGCTGGCAGGCATTGAGCTGGTGCTGGCCTCATCCAGCTCCTCCTTAATTTTTTAATGGAGATTTCCTATCTCCTAGAACTGGAAGGGACCTTGAAAGGTCATCAAGTCCAGTCCCCTGCTTTCACAGCAGGACCAAGTACCATCCCTGACAAATTTTTGCCCCAAATCCCTAAATGGCCTCCACAAGAACTGAACTCACAATCCTGGGTTTAGTAGGTCACTGCTCAAACCACTGAGCTATCCCTCCCCCTTCTCCTCCTTGCCAGCTGTGCCCCTTGGTGTCTCCAGCCCTGAGTCCACAACAAGCAGGGGGTGAAGGCACTGATTCACCCTCCCCAGGATTTGGTGGAGTCGTGAGTAGTAAGGACAGGCCTGCAGTGCCGCCCCAGAGCAGGAGGTGCACTTCCTGGCCTTGGCATAGGCCTGCCTTAGTTCTTATACTTTCATGCATGTCTGCTCCTAGGTGAGCATGTGGCCCTAGGTGGCCAGGCTATCGGCCATCCGGCCATAGACATTTGCATTCCTGTGCCTGGTGCAGACATCCTGGAGGTTTGCCTTCTTTGTGCCAGACCAGGCAGGTGCGCCCTTCTTCCATCTCCAGGCACATTCTTGGGAGCTGGCTGCTGGCTCCCTTTCAGCTGTGGAGGGCTCAGCGGGAACAATGGAGGTGCTCATGGTGGCAGAAAGAACTGGTATGGCAGCTGCTGGCTGGATCAGGATTTTCAGGGCCTGCCATGTGCCACACATACTTTCCCCTGAGGCTGCAGCTTTAAGGGCTGACAGGGAAGGGAAGCTACAGAGTTCTGAGGAATGTGGACAGAGCAGCCAGCAGGGCACCCGTGGGATTTCCTGGAGGCTCTTATTTTGAAATAACTTCATCTGCTCTGTCTACACTTGCACTATTCCAAAATAGCTATTTCGCAGTAGACCTATTCCTCACAGAATGAGGGATTACAGAATCCAGAATAAGACTCCCATTATTTTGAAATTATTTCAAAATAACGGGCTTGCTGTGTAGATGATCACAGTTATTTCAGAACTAGACAATTAGCCCGTCATAAGATGAGATTTTCAGGTCTCTCCTCCATGTCGGTCTTCTCTCCTGAGCCTCCGGTCTCTCGCTCCGTCTCTCTCTCCTCCTCCTACTGCCTCCCTCCCCCCTCAGCTCTCCTCTGCCTCCTGCCTTTCTCTCTGTCTCTCTCTTTCTCTTCTCCCCCTCCTGCCTCTCACTGAGCTCCGCGTCCTGCACTGTCGCTTGTGCCACTTGCTCCCACGTGGCAGCCCGGCTGAGCAGCGCAAAAGTCAGCCAAATGCCACTGCGGGAGGCGCTGGGGGTGGGGCAGTGATGTTCACAGCCATAGGGCAGGGCCTGGAGCTTCTGTCACACCGCACATCACTGCCCCACCTCTCTTTGCCTCCCACCGTGCCACTCGGCTGACTTCTGTGCTGCTCAGCCAGGCCACCATGGAGGAGCAAGTGGCCATTTGGGCTGCCCCATGGCAACCCGGATGAGCAGCGCAGAAGTCAGCCGAGCGCCACAGCAGGAGGCAACATCGCTGCCTAGAGGCAACAGCCTGCGTTTCAGCGTTACAGAGTCACAGACATTGGGCTACTATATTTGGGTATGTCTACACTACCCCGCTAGTTCGAACTAGCGGGGTAATGTAGGCATACCGCACTTGCAAATGAAGCCTGGGATTTGAATTTCCCAGGCTTCATTTGCATAAGCGGGGAGCCGCCATTTTTAAAACCCCGCTGGTTCGAACCCCGTGCAGCTCGAACTAGGTAGTTCGGACTAGGCTTCCTATTCCGAACTACCGGTACACCTCGTTCAAATCCCGGGCTTCGTTTGCAAGTGCAGTATGCCTACATTACCCTCCTAGTTCGAACTAGGAGGGTAGTGTAGACATACCCTTTCAGAATAACCTCCATTATTCTGGAATAATGCTTCTGTGTAGATGTGCCCTTAAAGTACTGCACATTCTGCTTCAATATTATGCCATTTATCTGTCTTTGTAAAGCCACACAGATGCACAAGATCTCTTCAGACACTCCTTGAACAAGTTGTAAGCCAAGAGTTGGCTGTAATTTTATGCTTTTTATATTTCTGCAGCAGTTACTGAAATTAGGCGTTATAATAGGTTGAATCTCTAAGGAAACTTTGCCTCTACTCAAATGCCTTGAAGAGAGTATAATTCAGAAAGAGAGGTGATTTTTCCAGCCCCTGAGTGCTGAGGATGGTGTCTCTTCTTCCACTTCAGCCTCTGATTCAGATTTACTTTCCAGTTCCACACATCTACCATGTAGGCTTCTGTGTCGGTGTTAAATGCTGCTTTGCCATATGCCGCAGATTTATTTCATTATGAGTTAGCTTAAATCAGGGGTGTCCAAACTTTTTTCAAAGAGGGCCAGATTTGATGAAGTGAACATGCGTGAGGGCCGACCATTTTGCCTGACATTCTTTGAACCATTAAAATTAAATGCAAATTAACTATTTTATGCAAAGTTTATTGCAAACGGCATACTTTTCATTTCGTCACATGGATGACAAATCTAAACAGGTGTTAAATCACTCTGCCTTTCATATCTGAAGGCCAGATGAAAAAAAAAATCCAGGAAGCTGAAATATATGTCAGGAACATTGTAAAGTACATTACATATTATTGGTAATAAAGGTTGTCTGTCAACTTTTAAGTTCAAAAAATATGAACAGGAACATAACACCAAGTATACATGTTGTGTCCAAATATATTTATAACTGATTTAGACCAACTGACTTTAACTGAGATTTTACAATGTATTCATCTCAATACATATGGATTCGTTGGGGGCCATAAAAGATAGATATTGCCAAATTACCCGCATTTGGCCCGCGGGCTGGACTTTGGACATGCCTGGCTTAAATACTTTGTCACTAAAGTCATTTGAAAGCTGGAAATATTTGTTAATTCTGTGCAGCATCTTCAACTTAGGGTGCAAGAAGAGGGCCTCAGAGGCTTGGTGATTGGGCAGTGGTGTGTTTAAAAAGTGCACTCTGTAGATGGAGAGGCTGGATCATAGAAAAATGAATGAGAGATGTTCTGTTGATCTGTCATCATTATTGGTCATCATTACTTATATTCTGTGTCAGGATGAAATTATATTGGATTCTAAGTACCAGAATTTCCAGGTACATTTCTGCATTTAAATAATTGCCATCATATTCACTTTGCAATGAAGTACGAGAAACTGGATTGTGATGGGAGAGTGCGGATTCTAACACATGTGCCTTTTAGTAAGAGAAATGTAGCATCTCCAGTGGCAAATAAGCAAAATAATAATAATCTGAAGAAGTGGGCTGTGCCCATGAAAGCTCATGATCCCATCTACATGTTTTGTTAGTCTATAAAGTGCTACCTGACCATTTGTTGTTTTTTAAATGTATTTACTTAATAATAATAATGTTTAGTTTGTTTTATTTACATATAGATATAATGCTCCCTTTTAAAATCTCCCTTTAAAATACCGTATGAGACAATTGCTTTTATAAGCAGAAAGAATATATAAGATCCAATCAAATGTTCATATGGCCTGTTAGCCTACTTAAGCATTTCTATCTTCAAACCATCCAGGCTCTTCAGAGAGAATTTTGTCTGGCAGCAGTGAAGAGGAACCTGAGGCAAATTTGAAGAAGTGGAATCCCGTGAATAAGCCTCAAGCAGACTTACTTAAACCAGAGGTATTTAATAAAAACATTGTGTAGGGTTAAATTATTTTTTTGACCCCACCATATCAGAGATACTCTATACGACTGATCACACTTCGGTTGCAAGAATATCACTCAGGGCCGAATTTCTCTGGGTTAATTAGTTGTGTGTGTGTATTTGTGTGCGTGTATGTGTGTTTGGTGGGTTAGTTTTCAGATTCAAACACATATGGGCTAGAATCACAAACTGGGACTCATATTTTTGATAGGTACCTCTGGGAGAATTGTCACCAACTATGGACTCTCTACTCCCACAAAAGACTCTGGATATCAGGTAAGACTCTTGTTTTGTAAACTGCCCTGGGACTAACTAACCAATTCAGAGATTAACATTTAATCTTGCATGTTCCTATAAAGTTAACAATATGGGGTCAGATGAGGACATACTGCTTGTTATGTATGCATTCAGGGCTGACTTAGCAATGTCATTGATTAAGAGATGTACGTAGCACATAATACTTACAATAAGCTATATTATTCTGATTAACAGTGGAAGCATTCCAGTTCTTGCAACTAACCTTATTTCCCAACATGAGGAAACCTTGGAAGCCAGAAGTAGGTAAGAACAATATTTCCGTGTACCTAGCCAGATAGTGGTCAGCCAATAGAAATGAAGTTAGGGATTTCAAACTGAGACAAAGGAATTTGGGGGGTTTTCCCTCCTTTCTCTCTAAGCCAGAGTTTGCTCTCTAGATACTGAGGGAGACAGAAGTCATGTCTCTCTCCAAGAAAAAGACTCTTCATAATGTGTAAGTAGGGTAAAGTCTAGATAAATCCATCAGGTTTTATTGTTTTCTGAGTTGGGAATTTGGATCTGATGTCTGTGCTGTTAGAAATAGTTTTTCCTCTCTTTTACAACTAAGTTTTGACCCATGGGGAAATCCTCCATGAGTATATAAATTGGTGGCTCTTAGCATCAAGTCATTCCAACTATGCTTGTAACAGGAGTTTTGTTTTAATAATAAAAGTTTTTTCTTCTTTTAATTAACCTGGTATTGGTTCATTTCTGTGTCCTGGAAAGTCTGTCTGTGAGATCTGCATGTCTCTGACGAGGGGACAGCATCACAGACTGCAGTTTGTATTTTCTCTTTTCTTTTCAAGCTCTTTAGAGAAAAGAGCTTGGGGTGCGCTAGGGTTGGTTTCAAGTGTCCACCCCGTTTGTGTGTTCAAAAGCACTTTATGGTGGCAGTGGATTCCCCAAAATCTGGGTATTAGGATTTTGGGGGGAGTTTTTGTACCAAAGCCTGTAGAGATCAGGATATGGGATTGCTTTGTGGGCCCCCCACTTTTACATTCATTGTGCCAGAGTGGGGAATAGCCTTGACAATTTATCACCGGGATTAACTGAAATCTACAGAACATTTCCTCAGTAATCTACAGATGATTTTGCCAGTTTTTGCAATTTCTACAAATCTACCAACATTATTTTGCATTTGTTATTGTGGTTTTTTTTTGTTTGTTTTTTTAATTTTCCAAACATCATTTTGTACTTTAAGGGTTCCAGAGAAAAAAATGTCAAGTAGCCTAGAGGACTTGCAGAGTGAATCCCTGGAAAAGGTTAGTTCATAAATATTTACAACTTTTAGCATTTAATCTGAAATCTAAGAAATTAACATCAATATCTATCTATCTATCTCACCTGCATATGCTAAATGTAACCAACACCAATACTGTATTTAAAAGGGTGTTTATGATATGTAGTTCAAACCCGCTCTCTCCTGCTCCTTATATATAAGCTTAGAATGAACAAAGTATTTGCCTTGTCCAGGTAAACACATCCTAACACTTAATCTGTCAGCTAAATAAGGAGAAAAGGGGAAATGCATGGACATGAAGCATATCTAATATATAAATGGTAATAGGAATCTTTTTAAATTGCACATCTTCATATGCCTTTAAATTTCAGGACACATGATAACAAAAGTTATTCACTGAGCTCCTCTATAAATAAACAGTATAATTTTTTACATATTTTTCTTTTTTAAAAGTAGATGTTTTTATTCAGAATCTGACCTTTTTAGGCTTCACCATTACACTGAATTCATAAAAGCATTCCATTTTCATAACATATTCTTCAAATTCAGGATCTTACACTGAGAGCATATTCACTCTTATTTCCTTAAATGTACAGTAAGAAGCTTTTAGAGGGTACTGGTTGATCATCATTAGCCAATTCTGTTTTATGACATTATACAGTATTTATTCACTGCATAATTTTACCTTAGCCAATTACAATGCTTTTTTCAAACTTACATGAATTTAACCTTAAACACAATTAAACACACTTGTTTTATGTGTTTTTTAAATAACTAAAGTCCTATGAACTGTGAGTACTTTACCTGTAACAAACCGTTTAAACTATTAATTAGGTCACAATTTAAAAATAAATTTAATTGCTAAACATGGAGTACGACTTTTGTCCGGGATTGTGGTTGGATTGCTTGCTTTTAAATATATTTGTTACTTCCCAAGCTAGACTTCTGATATAAATGGCATTATTAAAGTTGGTGTTGCTGTTACATAAACACAAGAGCAGTGTTGTTAATGCCAAGGCTAAATGTATTTCAGTTGTCTTCTTTTTCACTTTGCTTCCGTCTTATTTCAATATGATCAATTGGATCATTTTTTTTACTCGCTAAATTTAGATTTTTTTCCCACTATCAGTTTAATTTTGCCAGAGTTTTCTTGATTTTTTTATATTACACAATTACTAGGTTTGTGTAATGTTATTTATCCCTGCACATTAATATATCCTTTTTAAATGGTGTTAGTGTATCCATATCTAGTAAAAATATGGTTAATTCAAAAATTTCTTCTAGATCTTCCTAAAACTTTTTCTGTGCGTCTTTTGATTTAATACCTAACAAACTTATTATGTTTGCTCTTTAAGTGTTGTAATACATACAGTAAATGAATCAAGCATTAACATTTTCAGTTCATTGTAGAATTTAAAAGGCTATACTGTTACTGAAGTCTGACAAGCTAAGCACTAGTGTGCTTAGTCAGTATTTGGAGGAGAAACCAAGATGGTATGAAAATTGCATTAGTGAGTTTAAGACCCAGATCAACAAAGCATGGAAACATGTGTTTACATTTAAGTGCATGATTAATTTAGAGGAAAGCAGGGGGCCTATGTACTAATTGCTATGCTGAAAAATGGGATGGGATTATTTGTAGTTTGAAATTAAGTACTGTATATGATTACTTGCTTTGCTGATTAGGGCCTTAATAGTCAATACTCTTCCACTGAGGCAGTAACAGACAATACTAAGGGTACTCTGTTGCTGAAGGTGCAATAATTTACATGCAATCTAAAGTCTTGGGTCCTTTCTGATTGCAACAATTAAAGATCCCTATGCATTTCTTTTTTTAAATTAGAAGTTAGTCTTGTTGACCCGGTCAAAGTACTGTTTGCATAATTACATTCCTACCTAAGTTCTTCATACAGCTTTAATTAGGTAAGATATTCTTCACTTCCTATCCTAGATCATTATGTAATATTATATTGCTGTGGTCTCTTAAATAGATGATAGATCAAAGCAATAAGTAAGTGTGGGATGAAGTGAAGGGAAATCCTCCTTCTGTGCATGTTGAAAGCAAAAAGCCCATTGACCTCAACAGAACCTAGATGGTAATCATTTTGGTAAAGTGGGTGGGGAAAGACATGAGCTATAAATTATTTAATGAGGAGAGAATGGACCTCTTACTGTCTTCAAATAGAATCATTGCTTAGAAATCAGACTAAAACTGTTATTTTGTGTTGTGTGTATGTTTATACTAACATTTGTCTGTTACTTTTTTCCATCAAACTTTGAAATTATCCTCCCTGCAACTCCATAGTATGTAGACGGGAAACCAGTAGAGCCTGTTGTAGAACAAGAGGTATATTGACTGTATACTCCTTTAACATTTGCCTTCTATGATTGTGCATTGATGGAGGGGCTACTTTTTCACTTTTCATTCAGATTCTCATAAATTATTTTTATAAAGTACTGACAATTCAAAAAGGGAGGGAAGAAAATCTCTATATTCTAATAAGGAAAATAAAATTAGTTCTTTAAACACTCTTAAATCTATCAGAAAAAGCATAAAGAGATCTAGTGATGGAGACCTGAAGCTACACAAATTCAGAAAATAATTACAGTGCAGTTTTAGAACACTGAAGGTAATTTATCATTGGAACAATTTACCTACGCATGGGATGGATTCTCCATCGTTTGGTCTCTTTTAGACAGATTTATAGTCTTGACTTAGAGCTGTGATAGCTAGCTCAAATAGGAGTTTTCAGTTTGCTCTAAAAATTAATGATGAGGTTGTTTGCCCTGTTTTATAGTGGAGGTCAAATTAAATGATAACAGTGGTCTATTCTAGTTTTAATCCATGAAAATGGACAAACATGCTAAGACTGATCCAACTCTCATTGAAATCTATGGTAAAAATTGCATTGACTTCAGTGTGAGCCAAATAAGACCCTCTGTGTAGAAAATACAACTCACAGCAACAGTTTATATTCTCTCTTTTATTCTCATTAGTTTGAGGCATAGGAAAGGATTTAGCAAAACAGTGAAAATAACACTTAAGTACAATAGCTGTGTGAAATAAATTACACATTACTCTTGTGGTATAATTGTATATCTAAGACATTCCATCTGTTTGTAGTAGCCGTGGTTTCTATTGTATTGCTCTAATCAGTCATGATGTAGGAGAATTTGGCCTGCCAGAGTAGGTAATCTTACAAAGATTTGCTATAGCAAAATTCAATGTTTTACTATACTTAGCTTAACCTATACAACAGAAAAGCAAATGGTCCCTTTGTATTGCTCACTTTCAGTACAATATATTAGATATCCGTGTTTTAACAGCCTTGTGCTGTGAACGCTTACTGTCAAGAACAGGCCCTACCACTATGGATACATCTACACTGCACACTCCTTTTGGAATAAGCTATTCCAGAATTTAGCTTCCGGAACACTTCATTTCGAAATAGTGCGTCTACACACAAAAAGTGCATCAAAATAGCACTTAGCTATTTCAAAATCTCGCATTTAAGGCCACCCGGAACCAGTTCAGGCAGGGCATTAGTTCATCAGTTGGTTCCTGGAGCTGTTGCCTGAGGCTACCTGAGACAAGTGCTTAAAGGGACCCCCAGGACAGCCATTTCTCAGCTTCTTCTGCTTGTTTCCCTACTTCTCTGAGGGACAGCAAAGCATTTGCAGTGTGTGCTCTGGTTGCCCAGCCTTTGGACACCACAGCACACCGTGCTATGGAGCCAGAGCTGCCTCTGGGCATGCGATGGCCCCTGACTGTAGTGCTGCAGTTTCTGCAGGCTGCCCTCAAGGCCCTGCAGGAACATGACCTCGATCTGCTTGAGGAGACCCTCAACCTCTGTCTGGGAGCACAGCTCTTCCAGCTGCACCCCACTGTGCACCGCTACTTCTGGCAGCTGGACACCAGTCTCGACAGGTGGGACCCCCTGGTGGTGGAGCAGTGGGATGACCAGCAGTAGCTCCAAAACTTCCGTATGAGTAAGGCCACCTTTCTGGAGCTGTGTGCCTGGCTCGCCCCTACCCTCACACAACGGGACACCCAGATGTGACCACGTACATCCATGTGCATGGACTGCAGAATGATTCCCCAGGCCGAGAAGGCCGAGCTAAGAGCGCACCCCAACCCCTCTCTGTCTGCCACCTTCACCCTGTGTGAGAAAAATAAGGTGATGTTGATGTTCCCTCCCCGGCCTCAGAGGATGCCTAGGAAAACATCCAGGCCATCGGGTACTGGCTCCAGTGTCACTGAGGTGATAGTAGGTCCTCTTCTTCTTCTTCTTCCTCCACATCACCGGCTCTAATGCCTTGGCAAGCAACGATAGGCGTCTCCAGCCCTGAGTAAACCATGACAGGTGGGGAAGGGGATGCACTGCCCACCAAGAGGCAGGGCAGGTTCTGATAATAGGGGCAGGAGTGTGGTTCTGCCCCTGAGCAGGAGCTGCACTCCCTCACTCTGCTGTAGCCCTGTCAGAGCTCTTTGACTTTCATCTGGACCTACTCCTGGGTCCGGATGTGGTCTTGGTGGCCAGGCTATTGGCCATGCAATCATAAATGTTGGCATTGCACCATCTGGAGTGGAGATCCTGGAGGTTTTCCTCCTCACCCCAAACCTCACTGAGGTCCAGGATCTCTGTCTCATACCAGGACAGTGCATGCCTCTTGCGGTACCTGGCAGGCTCCTGGGAGCCATCAGACGGCTCCTGGGAGCCATCAGACAGCTCCCTGGGAATGGTGGAGGGCTCTTGGTGGGCTTGAAGGTCTGCCATGGTGGCCTGTTGATTGCTGTGGCAGCTGTGGTGTGGCTGGAATCTGTAGCTAGCTTCCTGTTGTAAGCCCTTTCCCCTGTGGCTGCAGCTTTAAGGGCTGCAGGGGAAGAGGAACTATAGAGTCCTGATGAGTATGGGCAGAGTGGCCAGCAGAGCACCTGTGAGATTTCTTGGAGGCCATTTATTTTTAAATAACTCTATGTGCCACATCCACACACACACTTCCAAAATAGCTATTTTGGAAGAAACATTATTCCTCGTGGAATGAGATTTATAGAAGTCAGAATAAGCCATCTGTTATTTCGAAGTAACGGAATTGCTGTGTAGACGCTCACATTGTTATTTCGGAATGACAACCGTTATTGTGAAATAACAGTGCAGTGTAGATGTACCCTAAGAGTAGAACTATGGCTTGGTGTAAGTGTAGTCCCCGATCTAGTATGAAAGAGGCAAAAACTATATGGAATATTTAATGGAATTAATGGAACCATTCTAAACAGAAATGACTGAAGTATAAATTAGTCCATGCTTCTCCCTAAAAAGTGATATTAAAACTATTACTAATCTTTTAAAAAGTTAGTGCAAGTTATATAAAATATATGAAAAATATTTTAACCATATTTAATTATTTAGTATAATTTTGTATACAAGTTTCATAATAGTGTCCATACCAAGACACCGCTATTTCTTACAAAAATGCAGGTTTTTAACCTAACTTTAGTTTTCATGAAAATATGTCTTCTGTTTGATATTCTGTTTTGCATCTTTATTTTTACATTTACATACTAGAGATGGGTGATTTACACTTGGCCTAAATTAGATAAAAATGCTTCTGGATTCACAGTTTACTAAGGTGCAGTTCTTTGGGGGAGTGCAAGGGTTGGAAGGAATGTATAGAGAAGAAGAGAGAGGAAATAACAATGGAAAAACAGGATGAAATATGGACCAGAGAGTATGCAGAGGAAAAGAAGGGCAAAAAAATTAATTATAATGACAAAATAAATGCAATGTATTTAACAATAATTTACATGTTAACAGAGCAATCCACTATAAATTTGGAGGCTGGGTGGTGGAGAGGGGAAGCATTCTAGCTTTTATAAAAAACACACACTTCCTTTAGCTAGAAAAACATGTTGGGTGCATCTAGACTGGCAAGATTTTGCGCAATTGAGCAAAAACTTGCCAGCTGTCTACACTGGCCGCTTGAATTTGTGCAAGAGCACTGACGTTCTAATGTAAGAATTCAGTGCTTCTTGTGCAAATACTTTGATGCTTCTGCTCAGGGATAAGCCCCCTTGCTCAAGAATACTTGCGCAAGAGGGCCAGAGTAGACAGGCACATTAATTTTTTGCGCAAGAAAGCCCGATGGCTAAAATGGCCATCGGAGCTTTCTTGCGCAAAAGCGCATCTATACTTGGCACAGATGCTTTTGCGCAAAAGCACTTTTTGCGCAAAATCATCCATGCCAATCTAGATGCTCTTTTGCGGAAATACTTTTAACGGAAATACTTTTCTGTTAAAAGTATTTCCACAAAATCATGCCAGTCTAGACGCAGCCCTTGTGTTTTAAATTGATTCACTTTTAGGAGAAAACTATGGTTTTAAAAACTGTTTGTGACCTTCACATAGCTTTTTCCTTGCATAAACACAATGGCCTATATCACAAATGTTATACAAATAATATCTTCTTTTTTAAAAAAAAATACAGAATAAACCATATGCAAAGAGTAGCAAATATCAGACCTTACCAGGGAAACTTCTTCGACCCACACACAATGGAGATCATGGAACATACAATACTCCTACTTCCCTAATGAATGACAATGAAGACAACAGTGCACTGAGCCTGAGTAAGTATTCATCTTTTGCTGTGTTTGACCAATTGTGCATAAATATAAACAAACTCCTTTATGAAATCCAGCAGATGTAGCAAATGTTTTATATTCCTTTAAGCTAGAACAGTGGGCTGTTACAGGTAGAGGGTCCAGAAATGAAATTTCTGTTCTTTTTTAAGTAGGTGCTTGAAAGCAAAATGATGCATAAACTTAGCCCATTGCAAAGTAAAAAATGACTCTACAGTACTGATTTCTATTATGCTGAATGGTAAAAACTTTGTTAGCATCACTTTCTTGGGGTACGTCTACATTGCACGCTAATTTTGCAATAAGCTATTCCGGAAGAGTTATTCTGAAATAGCTTATTTCGAAATAGCATGTCTACATGGCAGGGAAACCTCAAAATTAGTCCGAGGCAGGCTTCTCTAATGTGGATGTTCTATCTCGATTTAGATCCCAGGAGGCACTGGGGAGGAATAACGTAGAATGGCCCTGGTGAGGGGCTATTTCAAAATAGCAGCAGTGGAGTGTCTATAAATGCCTTATTTCGGAATAAACATTATTGCTCATAGAATGAGGTTTACAGATTTCGGAATAAGATGTCCATTATTTTGAAATTATTATGAAATAATGGAATGGCTGTTTAGATGCTCACATTGTTATTTTGAAATAACGGTGCAATGTAGACACACCCTTGGATGTTAGATAAATCATTTTAAGCAATGAAAAAATAGATATTTGGGCAGGGGATTATAGTGGGGAACAAATTTCTGTTGGTTGAAATTGGGATTTTAGTTCAAGTCCCACTTGCTCACGGTTCTGGGAATAATAAGTAATAATTGTTCAATGCATAGCCTTCCTGGGAACTCTATTGCTTTCACCTCTTTTGATAAACAAAACAGCTAGTCAAGCTAAGATAAAGACAAGCTACAAAACAGTTGACTAAGAAAGTTATTTGAAGAATTTACTTTACCCCAAGGGTACGTCTAGACTACAGGGTTTTGTCGACAGAAGTTTTCTGTCGACAAAGAGCATCTAGACTACATCCAGTTCTGTCAACAAAGCAAGCCGCTTTGTCGACATAACAGTTTGGACACAAAGAACAGTGTAGATGCAACAATGCCTTCTATCGACAGAACTCTGTCAACAAAAGGCGTTATTCCTCGTAGAATGAGGTTTACATATGTCGACAAAACTGCTGAGTTTTCTCAACGTTATGTCGACATAACTCAAAAGCAGTGTGGACGCAGGTATAGTTTTGTCGACAAAAGTCCACTTTTGTCGACAAAACCCTGTAGTCTAGACACACCACAAGATATTAACAATCTGACTAAAAAGATGTATTTTATTATTTGGGAACAGTCTAACTAGCATGAAATGTGGTCTAATTTGTTAACAGTGTATATCGCATGTAACATATTGATACTAAGGAGAGGAAGATTAATTTACTAGGGGAAAAAGAGACACATCCAATTTTGAATTTGGAAGAAGTTGTAGCTTCTTTGCAAATTGTTGTCTGTTTTAAGCTTGTATTTATTGTATTAAGGCCTAAAGTTACATACCTGAAATGGAATTTGCTAATGGGGCTAGGTACCTGCATGTCCTTTGTGCCTATGATCATCTCACTGTTGATTGCTTATATATGGATTTAAGACTCCATTTCATCAAATCACTTAAGCTACATATATATTTAAGTGCTTTACTAGATCAGGTCCTAATTATGGAGTCTAATTATTAAATATGCTGAGTACCCACTCTTCCCACTGATCTCAGTTTCCCCATTTCTAATTAATTCCATGTTGCTTTGGGATTTCTCATTCTGAGATGTTTGTTGGTTTTCAAGCTGTACAGTAGGTTTGCAACACATTACAGTTGACTGAGATGAGGTAAAAATAAAGTATTGTTAGTAATAAACAAAAAAAGTCATCTCCATTTTACCTAACAATTTGTGCAGAACTTTTTAGGGTTCATATGTGCCATTGCAAATCCACTTTCATTTACAGTGTAACTTTACTTTCTGTCATTCCCCACCCCTCACCACCTTTGATGCTTGGTTATTTATTTCTTTGCTTTTCTGTAACTTCATTTTGCTGGATTTCCCATCATCTTTGCTTCTTCCTCTGGCTATCTGCTGCTTGGAATGACTGAAGATCGCATCAGAAGTATTAGTGCACCGATATTAGGTACTGTATCCAATCGAGATGCAACTGTAACCTACTATGAATTTTCCTGCATTCTTTTCTGTTTTTCTCCTTTTAAAAATGCTAGTGAATGTTAGAAGTCCTAATTAGGCAAGTACAATCCTGAAACAATAGAGCAGCTTTTCTTTTTAAAGTATTCAGTCTAGTTCATACTGGGAACTTATTTTGGCAGATAAGTGTCAGTCGGGGAGGTGAAAATTTCACCCCAAGACATAGCTATGCCCGCCTAACCCCCCTTCCCTCCCAGTATAGACAGCACTAGGTCATTGGCAAAATTCTTCCATTGACCAACTCTTGGAGAGGAGGATTAACTATAGTGGCAGGAGAACCCCTCCCCTAGTTGTTGGTAGTGATAGCAATAAAATGTTATAGTTCTTCAGCTATGCCCTATATCATTTTAAATATAGGCATAATCTTAGCATGGGATTTTCAGAAGTACTCAACAATGGACTCGTTCTCCTTCCACTGAAATTTGGTAAAAGACCCATTAACTTGGAAGCCATGATAGCAGCCAATGATGAGAGCTTTGGAAAAATCTGATTCTTATTAAAGCAAAATCTCTTAAGAAGTTAGGGTGTGTCTAAACTACATGCCTCCGTCGACGGAGGCATGTAGATTAGCCAGATCGGCAGAGGGAAATGAAGCCGCGATTAAAATAATCGCGGCTTCATTTAAATTTAAATGGCTGCCCTGCTCTGCCGATCAGCTGTTTGTCGGCAGATCGGGGCAGTCTGGACGCGACGTGCCGACAAAGAAGCCTTTCTTGATCGGCACAGGTATGCCTCGTGAAACCAGGTTTACCTGTGCCGATCAAGAAAGAAAAGCATTTGTATTAATGATGTTTATAAGTTTGTAATTAATATTTAATATCTTAACACTAAGGGTACGTCTAAACTACATGCCTCCGTCGACGGAGGCATGTAGTTTAGACGTACCCTTAGTGTTAAGATATTAAATATTAATTACAAACTTATAAACATCATTAATACAAATGCTTTTATATAAACTTGCCCTTTATGCAAAAAAAATTGATCAGTTGATTATTATTTGCTATTTGTGTTGAGATTGTGCCTACAAACTCCAGTCTTACAGAATCATAGAAATGTAGGGCCGGAAGGGCCTAAAGTCCAGCCCCGTGTGCTGTGGGAGGACCAAATAACCATAAACCATCTGTGATAAGTGTGTGTCCAGCCTGTTTTTAAAAGCCTTCAATGGTGGTGATTTCACAGTTCCCCTTGGATGCCTATTCTAGAACTTAACTACCCTTATATCAGAAAGTCTTTCCTAATATCTTATTTAAATCTCCCTTGCTACAGATTAAGCCCATTATTTCAGTGACATGAAGAACAAATGATCACCATCCTCTTTAAAACAGCTCTTAACATATTTGAAGAGTGTTATTTGGTCCCTCCTCAGTCTCCTTTTCTCCAGACTAAACATGCCCAGTTTTTTAACCTTGCCTCAGATTTTCTAAACCTTTTAATCATTTGTATTGCTTCTGCTGGACTCTGTCCAGTTTCTCCACACCATTCTTAAGATGTGACACCCAAGGTGAGGTCTTACCAAAACCAAATAGAGTGGGGCACGACCGTTCCTCCAATGTCTTACATATGACACTCTAGTTAATACACGCCAGAATCACAGAGGTCAGGAGTCCAGTCCCCTGCCCAAAGCAGGACCAATCCCAATGAAATCATCCCAGCCAGGGCTTTGTCAAGCCGAGACTTAAAAGCCTCTAGGGATGGAGATTCCACCATGTCCCAAGGGAACCCATTCCAGTGCTTCACCACCCTCCTAGAGAAAGAGTTTTTCCTAATATCCAACGTAGACCTCCCCCATTGAAACTTGAGACCATTGCTCCTTGTTCTGCCATCCGTCAGTACTGAGAACAGCCTCTCTCCATCCTCTTTGGAACCTCCCTTCAGGAAG